AGGAGTCTGTGCTATAGCTAACATCTCATGCTGCACTTGGATTAACACTTCAGGGGAAGTAGAACACAACATTGCAAAAATATGCCAAAAAGCCACGTGATTACACATTCCTGAACAAATTGGGTTTGGTGTTTCTTTTTCTGATAGTTTTAGCTGGCTACCCAATGGAGCAGGTGCCTGGATCAGGCCAATCCTGTTTTCTAGTGTCATTATTTTAATGTTGGTAGTCATTGTAATTGGAACCATTAAATGTTGTTATGAAGTTTTTAACCAATGCCGTTACCTAAAACACTGATTTTATGGCTATGTGAAGAATTATATACATAAATGGTGCACAGCTTTGTGAAGATTCTGAGGAGCCCCACCATCAGACTAGCCTTTTGAAAAGGTCAAATATTCCTCCAGTTCAGCCCAGCACCATACAAACCCCAATCACTAGATCACAAAAGCTGAATGTCCAGCTATGACACGGTGAAGAACCCAGGTGGTGCCTGGCTACAACAAGCAAGGTGGTGCCAGACTACAAATAAGACTACTAAAAGGAAGCGCCCTGGGTCTTAAAATCTTGCCTCAGCAATCAGCCACCTGAACACAATAGTTTCCAGAGTCTTAAATCACTCAAAATGTTGAACAGCCATCTGAGGACCACTAGTCCATGTGGAAGAAACATTCATTAAGAATGATCAAAGGATGGCTATTGAAATCCTTGATGAAGAGGAAGGAATGTATAGGTGTTTCTAAACTTGAGACTTTGGGCCTAAGTAAAACAGCTAATAAAAGTTTGGGAGCAGATTCTATTTTTCATTGTGTGCTGACTTCTGTTTTTTTCAACCCTCTTACCCTTATCCAGATACAAGCATAAGGAAAAAAATTTTTTTTTTTTTTAACTCTGTGGTTGTGGTAAGACAATGGTGCCAGGGAATCCAGAGGCAGGTGCTTATCTCAAGACCTTTTGTGACAGGATAATGAGAGCTTGTTCCCCAGGTCTTGAAACACGTTATTGAAAAACCTCTTTTATAAATGAACCCCAGGAAACGACATGCCTGAGAAACCAGTTTTAATAACAAGTTCCCAGAAAAGCATGTGCTACGATTGCTTTGTAACTATCCTGTGATCAGCCAAAAAAGCACGTATGCTTGCAATTGCATCACCTTAACCAATTATGTAACCCACCTATACACATGTATCCAACGGAAATCCCTTCCCCCACTTTGCTTAGCCTTCCTTTTTGTGACCTCAATCAAAAACCAATGATTCTGTTGTAATCTCTGTTTCTTGCCCTCTGTCCACCCTTGCTCGGGACACTCTCCCTTCATTTGAGTGAACTTTTCTTGCTAAATAAATCCTCCGAACTTTACTTTAAGGGTTAAGCAATTTTTCTCACATAGGTTCATAAATGTCCTGAACTAGTAGGAAAGACTGGAGATCAGTATTTTCCTGAGGAAATCTTGTGATAACGATGTTAGGGCCTTGTTCTGGATTAGGCTTTGGTTTAAGGGGAAGTTGTGGCTGACTTGATCTTCTATCCAGACTACTAAAACTTTCTCCATATCAGCAACAAGGCTGTTCTGCCTTCTTATCATTTTTGAGTTCACTGAAGTATCGCTTTTAATTTCCTTCAAGAACTTTTCCTTTGCATTCACAACTTGGCTGTTTGGCGCAAGAGGCCTAGCTCTCACCCTATCTATGCTTTCGACACGCCTTCCTCATTTCTAACTTTTGATTTAAAGTAAGCCACATGCGACTCTTCCTTTCACTTGAACACTTAGAGGCTATTGTAGGGTTATTAATTGGCCCGACTTCAATATTGTCATATCACAGGGAATAGGGAGCAGAGGAGAGGGACAGAGACAGGGGAACGGCTGGTGGGTGGACCAGTCAGAACACACACAGTATTTATCCATTAAGTTCACTGTCTTATATGGGCGCAGTTTGTGGCGCCCCAAAACCATTACAATAGTAGCATCAAAGATCACTGATCACAGATCACTATAACAGATACAATAATGAAAAAATTTGAAATATTGCGAAAATTACCAAAATGTGACACAGAAGCACAAAGTGAGCACATGCTGTTGGAAAAATGGCGTGGATACTTGCTTGACTCAGGGTTGCCACAAACCTTCAATTTGTAAAAAACGCAGTATCTGCGGAGTACAATAAAGCAAAGCACAATAATATGAAGTATGACTGTATATTTATACACTTCACTAATTTTGCTTCTCTAGAGAACCCAGCCTAAGACAGTCTGACTCAGTGAGAGTGTCAGCATCAATCCGGGTAAGGATAAGTTCAGGGTCAGGGTCAAAGTAATGATCATGTCAGAATGACAGTAAGGTTCAGTGTAAGGGTCAGGGTGAGGTTGAGGGTCAGGATGTGTCAGAACATAAATCAAATTCAGGGATTAGGTTCTCTGTCAATGTCAGGTCAAACACAAGGTCAGATCAGGGTGAGTGTAACGGTGAGAATCAGAGTAATGTTATGGGTAAGGGTAAAGTTCAAGATCAGGGTCAGAGTTGGTGTCAGGGCCAATTTGAGGATCAAAGCTATATGGATATGGTTTAGGATGAGGCTAAGTGGATCAATGAAGGTTAATGTCAGATGAGGGCGAAAGTTATGGTGAGCTCCAGAGTTGTGAGGAATGTCAGCATCAGCGTAAACATGAGTGCAGTTCAGGGTCAGTGTGAGGTTCAATGTTAGGGTAAAGGTCAAAATAAGGATCAAGATCAGAATCAGGTTCAAGGTCGGGTTGAAGATGAGGGTCAATGAAATGCTCAGTTCCAGATAAGGTCAGAGTCAGACTCTGAGAGTGAGGTTCAGAGTTAGGATCATGGTCAGACTAAACGTGAAAGTTCAGGTTAGGGTCAGGGTAAATTCAACATGAAGGTCAGAGTGAGGATCATAACATGGTGAAGCTCAGAGTCATGGTCAGAGTCAGGGAAAGAATGAGGATCAGCTCAGGGTGAGTTTCAGCATCAAGTTCAGAGTAAGGGTAGGTTCACAATGAGAGTCAGAGTCATGATGAAGGTAAAGATCAGAGTAAGGCTAGGGTGACAATCAGGTATAGAACGAAGTGGAGGTGACAGGATGAAGATGATAATGAGGTTACTTGTCAGGGAGAGGGTCAGGTTCAGGCTTAAGGTCAGATTCAGATCAGGGGAGGATCAAGGTCTAGATGAGAGTTGTGGTCATTGTGTGGGTCACAGTCTGGATGAGGGTCAGGATCAGGGTTGTTGTTAGTAAAGATAAGGGATAGTGTATGGGTAAAGTTTGAGTTTGAGGTTCAAGGACAGTGTCAAGGTGTGGGTGAAGGCCCAGGTCAGGGCAAAGGCAAAGGTAACGTTAAGGTCAAAGTGAGGGTCAAAACAGAAGATCTGGGTCATGGTCAAGGTTAGGGTGTGGATGAGAATGAAAGTATGGGTCAGAGTAGACTCAAGTTAAAGTTGAGTTCAAGGTTAGCATCAAGGTCAGAGTAAGGTTGGTGGTGAGGGTTAAGGTCAGTCAGGGTTAGAATCAGGGTGAAAGTCACTCAGGGTCAGGGTCTGGGTAAGGATTTAGGTTAGACTTAGGGTCAAGAAAAGTTTCCTGATCAGCGTGTGAGTTGAGGTTGGAAAAAGTGAGTCAGACTCAGAATCAAGGTGAGGGTAAGGGACATCATCAAGTTCAGGCCAAGGTTCAGCATCAGTGTCAAAGTGAGGGAATGTTCAGAGTCAAGGTCAGAGTAAGGGTGAAAGGTCAGAACAGATTCAGGACAGGGTGTTATGATAAGAGGGTGAGGGTCAAATTCAGATTAAGTCAGGTCTAGCATCAGATTGAGGGTCAGTGTCAGAGTATAGGTCAGAATTGGAGTCAGGATGAAAGTCTGGTTCAAGGTCAAGGTTAGAATCAAGTGCAGGGTCAGAGGTAGTGTGAGGACTAGGGTCAGTTCATGCTCAGGGTGAGGCTCAGGAAAAGGGGGAGGGGCAGTCAGGGTCATAGGGTCAGGTTCAAGGTGAGGTTATGTGTCAAAGAAGTCAGCATGATGATCAGTATCAAAGTCAGGGTGAAAGTCATGGTGAGACCCAAGATCATCGTGAGGGTCAGAGTCAGTGTGAAGTCGTAGTTTAGTGTCAAGGTCAATCGTGTTCTAGGTGTGATACATGGTCAGATTGAGGATCTGGTCCAGGGTCAGGTTCAGAGTTAGGTTGTCACTACCCTGGTCAGTCAGGTCAGGGTGAGGATAAAGTTCAGGCTATTTCATCATCAGGGTCAGGGTTAGTGTAAGTTCATCATGGTCAGGTTCAGGATGAGGATGAGGATGAATCTCAGGACCTGAATGATAATCAGGTTCAGGGTTGCTCAGTGTTAGAATCAGGGTCAAATGTAGTTGGAATCAGTGTGAGACAGGGTCTAGGTGAGGGTATGTCAGGATGAAGATCAAAGACATGGTATAGGTGAAGGTTGAGTTTCAGGGTCAAGGTCAGGGGTCAGAGTCTAGGTTAAGGGTCAGGTCAGGATGTGTGAGGGTCAGATTTAAATGACTCTAAGGTTCAAGGTCAAAGTCATGATAGGGATCTAAGGTCATGGTGAAAATCAGTTAAGGTTAGGGTCAGATTCAGGGTCAAGCTCAGGGGATATGGTAAAGGAATGGTCTGGGTAAAAGTGAGAGTGATGGTCAGATACCTTGAGGTTGAGGGTAAAGGTCAGGTTATGTCACGGTCAGGATAAGGCTCTGGGTAAGGGAGAGGATTAGTGTCGGAGTGAAGGTAAGGCTGAGGATAAGGGTCAGGGTGTGGTTGAGGGTCAAGGTTAGTGTGAGTCAAGGACATTGTCAAGTTCAGGGTCAGGATTAGAATAAGGGTGTTAGGTTGAGAGTCAGGGTCAAGTGGAGGATAAGTGTGAGGGTCATGGTCAAGATGAAGGCCAGGGTCAGGGTAAGGTTGGAGGTCAGCAAACCCTGCTCCGCAGAACCCCTTCCCCCACAGCACCATGCAACTTTCTGAAATGCTCTTCCCCCATTTACCTGCATATCTACCCTCTTCACCTCCTTGGAGTCTTTAATAAAGCCTAACCCTCCCTTGTCCCCCTTCACTAAAACATAACTGTCACTAAGGATCTGGAGTGTTTTGCTCATTAATCAATCCCAAGCACTTAAGAGTGCTTGGCATACTGCAGGAGCTCATTAAAAGTTTATGTAATGAACAGATGAATATGCATTAAAGTATTTCTGAAAAGAGGTATATGTGGAAATAAAACACAATAAACTGTTAACAGTAGTTCTCTCTAAAGTTATAAGAAAGCATCATGGTCTATTTGATACATGTCCTTATTGTCTTGTTTTTAAAATATTAACTCTGGCTACCTTATAGTCACCAAAATGAGTCTTTCCATCTACAGAATATAAAGGACTTTAAAGTACCCAACACAGTACTCAATGAACCACAGCAACTACCTAAATTTCAGACAACTGACAGCTTTCCCGGGAGCCCTGGGGCCTCTCGAAAAACCCTGCTCTAGTTCACTTACCCAAACAGTAGAGACAGACTGAGAGGCAAGACAACAGAGAGAGATTTATTCAACAGCAGCTTTGGAAATGATGCCTCGTACTGATGCGCTGTATTTCTCCATGTTCTACTTCATTCCTTTCCCACACATTTCTGTCCTTTGTAGGCTAGAGCTTGAAACTAAACAGGGGATCGTCCTAGATGTACTTATACACCACCTTTGAGGGCACAGTTTGGAGATGCAGACGTACAGGACACTTGTAAAAGTGGGACAGCAGAGTTTCACTGTAGCCCACGAGGAAGTAGAACTTGTGGGGAGGCAGGTGCCTCAGCACCAGGGCACAGATCTCCACCTGGTTAGCCCGGCGCTTTAGGATCAGCTGGTCAGCCAGGCAGCCTGGGAAGGTTCCCAGCATGAACTTGCGAAGGAAGACATCCTCCACTGTTCGCGCCGCAGCATGGTCCTCCCCATCCAGGTTACCTGAAGAGAAGACACCATCAAGAGTCAGCCTTGCTGCCTCGGAACTTGCCAAAACTCCAGAGGTAACACCCAAAAGCAATGGGCACTCAAACCCGACATCCCCTCCCCCACCCCAACACCTGCTTCTTTTTTCCTCTGTCAGTGGAATAAGGATAACACTTTAAAGCTCAAGGTACATTATTTCACTAAATTCCCAAACGAACCCTTTGAAAAAGAGACTATCATTATGCTTGTTTTACAAAAGAGAAGACTGAGGCCTGAAGCCAGGGCACAAAGCTCAGATGATCCCTCCACATCTAGCCCCTTTTCCACACTCTTGTCTGCCTTATAGAAAAGCACTAGTCATCCCACGCACCAGACAGATGAGTGCCACTAGCTACTTCTGAGATTAGGGACACAAGCTCTCTCAGGAGCCAGAGTCACTGCCTCATCAGTGGATTCTCATAATGTGGTCCTGGGCTCCTTTCTATTTCTGTTCAAGATTCTCCATGCCCACTCAGAACCAGAACTTGAAAGGGGATAAGAACAGGAATCTGTATTTTCAGTAAGTTCTCCAGATGCATCTCAAACATCTAAGCTGAGAACTCCCTTACTGAACAAAATACACACTTTGTAGAGAACAGTTAAGCACGTGACTGCAAACTGAAAAGCTGGCAGTTTCAACCCACCCAGTAACTCTGCAGGAGAAAAGACCTGGCGATTTGCGATTGTAAATATTTAAAAAATAAAAACAAAAAACCAAACCTACTGCCATCCAGTCAATTCTGACTCATAGCTAGAAAAGCCTATGGGGCAGTTCTACTGTCACATGGGTTCACTATGAGTGGAAATCGAGGTTACAGCAACTAACAACAAAGAATGGAAAACTGCATTATTTGGAGCTCACTCTTCTGGAGGATCTGATTCTACAGGGGCTTAACTCCCTCCTTTCAATGCCTCTGAGCTATTCATTACCTCTCTCTGCAAACTATAAATAACTGGTAAAGGCATCGCTGTAGATTCCGACTCACAGTGACCCTATAGGACAGAATAAAACTGCCCCATAGGGTTTCCAAGGCTGTAATCTTTACACAAGCAGACTGCCACATGGTACTCTCACAGAGCTGCTGGTGGGTTCGAATTCCCATCTTTGGGTTACCAGCTGACCTTTGGGTTAGCAGCCAGCTCTTAACCACTGCACCACCAGGGCTCCTTAGATAACTGATAACAATGCAAAATAATTTGATTCCCGACCCCACTGACAAAAACAGTTCTGCATCCATTTCAAATTCATTCCGGTATACCGAATTTGGAGCCCTGGTGACAAAGTGGTTAAGCGTTTGGCTACAAACCAAAAGGCTGCCAGTTCGAATCCACTAGCCGCTCATCGGAAACCCTATGGGGCAGTTCTACTCTCTCCTATAGGGTCGCTATGATCGGAATCGACTGTATCGCAACGAGTATACCGAATCTATACACGTCTCTGCTTTCTTACTGCTTTCTTACTGCTCCTTTGAACCAGTGTTAACAGATTTCTGACTCCCTCATATCTTTGACACGTGTTCGTTTTATTTTTGTATGAGTCATGGCTTTTTATTTTTTTTTAAACTGTCCTTTAACATACTGACCAAAAATGAGAGCTCCTTTCTCTGAGCCCTGTGGTCCCCGACCTCTCCCGCCCGCCACCATCTCCATCATTGTCCCCTCACCTGTATGCAGCGACAGCCAGCCCTTGCGGTGGGCGATGTAGTGCGGGGCGTGCGCCTCCTCGTAGGTCACTGGTTTGTCCCCCTTGCCCACGCGCACTCGGGCCGCCCGGTTCTAAAAGCAAAACGGGATCGTGACCCCCGCGCCCATGGACCTCGGCAGGCGCGCGCCCACCTCCCGCCCTCTCCACGCGCTCACCTTGGCGCAGGCCGAGGAAGTGTGCAGGGCGCGCCAGGCGCACAGCAGCTCTCGGCTCCCGGCCAGGACCTGCGGGAGAAAGGTGTAAGACGGAAGCCAGGGCCCACCGCCCCCGCGGTTCCCCGCCGCCGTCCCCTCCCGTGTCGCCAACTCACGCTCAGCCAAAACCACCCGCCGCACACCGGCGCGGCCATTTTGGGCCAAGTGAAGCCCTCGGGGCGTGCTCGGCCGGGGGCAGGGCTCGGCCGGGGCGGAGAAATCGGGAGCCTATCCCTTGTGTGGGTTGGCTCTGAGAGCGGAAGTCGCCGCTCCGCTGCTGTTACACCAGCTGGACGCGGTCCCGGTAGTTCTAGGAGCTGAAAATGGGAGTTTTCCTGCGTTCCCCAGAAGGCTTGTAAATGCTCGTGCCTGCAGTTCTCCGCTCTGCCACCTCATTCCATCGGATTTCAGATACGAAAATTTCATAATGCAAAAAATGAGGTTTCGTCCTCAGAGAGCTAGCGTGAGGAAGGACGATGGGTGTTCTGAAAACCAAGAAGGGCTAAAAAAGTCGCGGCTCCACCGGAGCGTCCCGGGCGCCCACCGGACTCCACCGGGGGCCCTCGGGGCTCGGAGGGGAGGGGGTCGTTTTTCCAGGTCCTAGTAATTAGGCTACTGAGCTCTGCGCCTTTAAGGAAAGGAGGTAAACCTGGGCTGGCTCTCCCCGTCTCCAAATAATATATTTTGTTAAAATTTACGCTTTGATCTCCTAATAAAGAAGAAGCATGTTGTGGTTAAAGCTTTACCCAATTCTTCAATGATGAGTTATGCAGAGAGTAAGGTCTGGCTACATTAAGACCATAAGCCTAGTGTCTGGCTGGCCTTTGGGGAAGGGAAATTTTAAGGGGCAAGGGGCCCAAGAAGAAGGTAAATGATGAGGATATCACAGGATCTGTAATACTTAAACCAGACCCTTGCCACTGTAATTGGTGTCCAGTAATTATTAATGTAAGGGGCCCTGGTGGCGCAGTGGTTAAGAGCTCGGCTGCTAACAGAAAGGTCCACGTTGGAACCCACCACTCACTCTGCTGGAGAAAGACATTAAAGCCTTGGAAACCCTATGGGGCAGTTCTACTCTGTCCTAGAGGGTCGCTATGAGAGTCGGAATCAACTGGACAGCAACAGGTTTGGTTTTTGGTTTAATTACTGTCAGAGGAAAAATAGCGACACTGGTTATCTTCCTTCAGAACTCACCACAGTAAAAACAAACAAACGTGGGCTCTGGACTCAGGTCCAGGTATAAAAGTCCTGATACAGTTAAGCCTCAGTTCCTTTATCTGCAAAATGGGCTTTACTTACCCTGTTAGGAATCAAGAGAAAGTATTTAATAAATGATAGCTGTTATTCTTTGTATTAGGGTGAATGGTGTGAGATTATAATATTTGACAGTTTCTGACCTATAAAGATGTCAATTGCATATGGTTCACCCTAATGTCATTTGAATACTGCTGTGGTTTAGAGTGTTTTTTCAATTATTTCCTGTGGAGGGGGAGACTAGGTTATCATCTATGGGGGAGGCAGGCAAATGAAGGCAAAGTGGAAAGTGAGTTGCCCAAGGTCACACTAGAGAGAGGCAGAGAGGGACCAAGACACAAGCCTCTTGACTTCCTTCCCTCCAGCACATTTTCCATTACATGATGCTGCTGTTAGATACTGTCCAGTCAGTTCTGAATCATAGACACCCTGTGTACAACAGAAGGAAACACTGCCCAGTCCTGCGCCATGCTCACAATCATTATTATGTTGAGCCCATTGTTACGGCCACTGTGTCAGTCGATTTCATTGAGGACTTTCCTTTTTTTTGCTGACCCTCTACTTTACCAAGCATGATGTCCTCCAGGGACTGGTTCCTCCTGATAACGTGTTCAAAGTATGTGAGATGAAGTCTCACCATCCTTGCTTCTAAGACGCATTCTGGCTCTACTTCTTCCAAGAAGATTTGTTCATTATTATATTCAGTATTCTTTGTCAACACACTAATTCAAAGGCGTCAATCCCATTGGTCTTCCTTATTCATTATCTAGCTTTTGCATGCATATGAGACGACTGCAAACACCCTGGCTTGAGTTAGGCACACCTTAGTCCTCAAAGTGACGTCTTTGCTTTTTAACACTTTAAAGGTCTTTTGTAGCAGATTTGCCCAATGCAATACACCATTTGATTTCTTGACTGCTGCTTCCATGGGTGTTGATTGTGGATCCAAATAAGATGAAATCCTTGACAACTTCAATCTTTTCTCTGTTTATCATGATTTTGCTTATTAGTCCAATTGTGAGGATTTTTGTTTTCTTTATGTTGAGGTGTAATCCATACTAAGGATGAAGCCTTTAATATTCATCAGTAAGTGCTTCAAGTCCTCTTCACTTTCAGCAAGCAAGGTTGTGTCATCTGCAGGTTCTTAATAAGTCTTCCTCCAATCCTGATGGGAGTTCTTCTTCATATAGTCCACCTTCTCGGATTATTCGCTCAGCATACAGATCGAATAAGTATGGTGAAAGGATACAACCCGAATGCACACCTTTCCTGATTTTAAACCATGAAGTTATCTGCTTGTTCTGTTGGAATGACTGCCTCTTGATCTATGTACAGGTTCCTCATGATGCTTAAAGCTGGGTCCTCATAAAACCCCTGGATAAAGGAACAGGGTTAGTGTGCACTTCACTAGCAATGTTTTATTTTTAAGTTTTAAAACTATGGCCTCAAATGTTCTGCATATTGGATAAGGGTACAGAAGAGGGATGAGATGTTCTTCAATCCACAATACTTTCCGTAAGAACTCTCAGCTTTTTCTAAAAAATCCTGGTAGAGTGGCAGCAGCTTTTCCTTTTTAAAGTTTCTAGGAAGTTTAATAATTTTATAATTTGATAAGTTTTGTAAACCTCCTCCAAGATGGTGAGGAACATGGATCTGGCGTTTGAATTGTCTGAATGCAAATCCTGGACCTGCTGCTTCCTGGCTGTGACTTCAACTCCCTGAGGTTTAGCTTCTCTCATTGGTAAAATGGGGACAACAGTGGTTGTTGTGAAAATTACAGTGTAAAATGCCTGGCACAAAGTAAGCAGTTAATATTTTTTAAAAAGAACAGAATCCCTGATATCTACATCCTCCTAGATGAATCAGCTATTTAGAGTTCTAAAAGAACTCATAGGAACCCATCCTGACCAGGTGACAAAGGCCTAAACACCTGTTGGGGCCACCTGACAAGCTGAACAGAAGCCACATCACAAAAGCTTTGCTTGGGAGCTCACATTTTGTCCTGAAAGCAGTGGGCAATAACATGATCAAATCTGTGTTTTCCCTTTTGAAGTCACTCTTCCTTAGGCCTGAGGTGTCCGCCAGGAATTCCAAACTGATCTAGATCTTTTCCAAGCGTTACAATGACCATTTCAGTCAGCAAACATTTCCATGGTTCAAACACCTTGTTACCTACCCTTCATTTATTATCTTTGTTTATATTCTACCTTGTTGCAAAAAGTTTCAGTTAGTTCCTTGGGAGGGAGAGGGGTCATTTGAGTGCGTTTGCATGATTAAAATAACTTAGTGACATTTTTTTATACATTAGTATGAGTTGTTACATGGTTTTAAATCACCCGTGGCCGGGGGTGGGGGTGGGGGAATCGATGGGGCTATTTTATTTTTCCGTAACTTCCATTTTGTTTTGATGCACTTTGCTTCTCCCAACTATTCCGTACAAAAGGGCAATATTATACAGGTTTTACAGATTGGAAGATAGAGGCTGAGACACTCCCGAGGTTATAGAGTTAGCAAATGGTGACGTCTTCTTCCAAAGCACATGCTCTTTCCACATCTGGGGTTCCACTGCGTCACTGGTAGATTGAGGTGGGGGTCCAGAACAATGTTAGGATGGGGGTAGCCTGGGGGCAGACCGTTCCAGACTAGATATGTAGCAGCCCCATCCAGGCCCAGGTGAAACCCCCCTAAGGGTGACCCCACACTACAGGCCCCCCGTGCTCCTGCTGGGGAACCTGTGAGGGAGACACATATGAAGTGGCTTTCTCTCAGACATGAGCCTCTTTGTTCTCCACGTGATAACCAGCAGCCAGGAGTCATTTCTATGTGCTGAAACCAGTGGTTCTCATCTCTTGGAAAGCTTTTTTTTAAAAGCCTCGTGCTCAGGCCCCACACCAGAACAATTAAATAAGAATCTCTGGGGTGGGGCCTAGCCAGCAGTACTTTTTAAACACTCCTTAGATGATGCCAATTTGCATCCAAGGTTGAGAACTAGTGCCCTAAACTCAGTTTATTTGAGAGACTCCCAGAACTGGTATCTGCAGAGATCCCTTTTGGGGGAGAAGGCTGGTTGGATGCTCTTTCTCTAACCGTCCTGGGAGACCCTGGCAGCTTAGGTCTGGATGGAAGAAGACTCGAAAAACAGCTCTTATCTTTTTTTTTTTTTAATTTTATTATACTTTAAGTGAAAGTTTACAATTCAAGTTAGTCTCTCATACAAAGATTTATACATAGTTATGTGACCCTAATTGCTTTCCTATACTGTGACAGCACAGTCCTCCTTTCCACCCGATTTCCCGTGTCCATTCAACCAGCTCCTGACCCTCTCTGATTTCTCATCTCACCTCCAGACAGGAGCTGCCCATTTAGTCTCATGTATCTACTTGAGCTAAGAAGCACACTCTTCACGAGTATCATTTTATGTCCCATAGTCCAGTCTAATCTTGGTCTGAAGAGTTGGCCTCTAGAATGGTTTTAGTTTTGGGCTAACAGAGAATCTGGGGGCCATGTCTTCTGGGGTCCCTCCAGTCTCAATCAAACCATTAAGTCTGGTCTTTTTACTAGAATTTGAGTTCCGCACCCCACTTTTCTCCTGCTCCATCAGGGACTCTGTTGGGAACAGCTCTAATCTTGAGGTGACTGGCCTTCACCCAGACCTGCCACTCTTGAGCCACAAGGCAGATGAGGAGATTGCTGGGCGGTCTATCCAGGTGGGCCCTGTGCAGGCTGCCATGGGCTCACCTGGAGCAGTGCTCGGAGGATAGAGCAGACGTAGCACTGGCAGGCCATGTGGAGACACTGTGTGTGTGTGTGTGTGTGTGTGTGTGCGTGGAGGCGGGGGGGTCCCTCTGGAACACCTGCATTTCCGGAGCACGGTCCAGCCTTGAACATGGTGTGTAAGTTGTGTGAGGAGG